AGAGAGAGAGAGAGAGAGACATACTCTTCATACAGGTGCTTGTGGGTGCATGCATGCACACATAGGTACAGATACACTCTAGCATATTTATGTGGACCGATATGGCTGTCGTTCACAGCCAGGCAACACTGTTAGTACACACACAAACACACACTGCTCAAAGACACACCCTCAACACACTCACAGCCATAACAACTATGTGTGTAATAGGCACATGCTTGCTTTATACACATGCTGTCATACAGACAGGAACACACAAAGAGATACCCAAATCTACATACCAGCACTCACTCTTCAATGTACATAGCGACACAGGTGTTATCAGACACAGAGATCTGCTGGTGCACAATCAACACAAATACAAATGTGCACTTACACACACTCAAGCAGGGACATACATTCCTCCCTCCTGCCCCAAACCCAGGAGTCACAGGTCCCTGGGTCGGTGGAAGCAGACCCTTCTCCCACCCCACCAAAGGGTATGACAGATCTTGCTCATTCTGTCCATTCCTAGAAGGAACCCAAAGGGGTATCAGGCCTCTGGAGGCCACTCAGGGTAGGGGCAGAGGTCAAGAGCAGCAGAGCTGCCAGGCAGGTTCCTGTAGCTCAATCACGGCCCGGCGCGGCCCCTTGCGCAGCCCGGACTGGAGCCATCTCGGTACTCACCGCTGCTCACCAGGAGCCGGGGCCGAGGAGGAGAGGCCGGGGAGAGGCTGGGCCCAGCTCGGCGGTGCAGGCAGCGCGGCTCCCGCTCGTTCCGGGCCCGCCCGCCTCTCAATCCCTCCCCCTCCCCCCTACGCGCTGCTCCTCCGGCATCGCTAATCCGCACCCCTCCCGCGGTCCCCGGGGCCCCGAGCCCAGGGGGCAGCCCCTGTCCCCGCTGCGCGGTCCTCTCCCGCCAACCTGAGACCCGCCCCTGACTAGGCGGAGGGCGAATGGAACCCCAGTACTGTTTCCCTGACCCTCACGTGCCCCACCCCACTCGCGTCCACGTCCTTCTCGCCGGTCGCCCCCCGAACCACACGCAAGGCCCAGCTGCACACGCGTGTCCCGCTCCAGGCCCCACGCGTGTCCCTAGGCGGTTGCCACATGACCTGTTACATGCCACACGCGCTCCCGCCCCCACGAGCACGCGGTCACGCAAAGCACCCGGTATGGGTGTAGATCAGACCCGCCCCCTAAAAACAGGAGCCCGACAACTTAATGGAGGGAAGATGTAAGGAACATTGCCTAGATTCCTCCAGGGTTCTGAATCTTGGACCCAGCAGTCTCAATCCTGACCACCCATCCAGGGTGTAGCAGGAGAGATGTTAATCAGACTTCAGAAAGAACTTCCTTGATTCCTGAGTTAGGAATCCTAGCCGCCTGAAGATGAGGAATTAGCAAAATGTCCCTGGAACTGGAGGAAGTTGGGGGGCAGGCAATCTCTTCCTGATCGCGTCCTTCGTGAGGGTAGATGGGATCCTGTCTATTTTAAAAATGCGCCGTTAGAATTACTATGGTACTGTTTTCCTTGGGAAGCCAAGGAGGGCAGCTGGTGGCCTCAAAAAGAAGAAAGGGTCTATTCGGGCGGTCAGGGGGCACCGGGACGTGTGAGACACGTACGCGCGCGGAGCTCACCGCGGGGAGGCGCGGCGCGGGTTCCGCGTGGTGCTGAAGGGGACAGCGCCAGATTTGTCGCACTGCGCAGGCGCAAAGGCGGGAACAAAACGGAGGGGGGAGGAAGGCGCGCGGCCCGAGGTGATGCTCTCAATACTCTATCCTAGCCAAGACCTGTCTTTTCCGCTACTATCTTCCTACAAACACTGTGGAAGAAGAGGAAACAGGTTCTTCACTCAACCTGATCCTCGTCTACTCCTCTTCTGCGGGCCTACCCTTTCTTACTGCATTGGCGGGGAGGTGGGGCGTGAAAGGGATTCTGGGAAAATCAGGTTGTCTGGGTTCTGTATTTCCATTCGCTGAACAAGGCGCTTCCTCTCCAGGGCCTTGATTTCCCGGTCTTTAAAATGGAGTGACAACACAGTCCTGCCCACCAGGCAGAGACGCTCCAAACCCTGATGACGCAATGGACGGGAAGCTGGTTTCGTTTATGAAGAGGCAGGTGGATCTGCTACCCTGCTTCACCCAAGAATCACACAACTTTGCTATGGACAATTCTCAGTGACAGCATGGTGTTCTATATCCCAGGCTCCACAGTGGATAATGAGGAAAGCACGGTGCCAGAGTTTCCCAGAGTTCTCATCAGGACCTGATGAGAGGGCTGCCTAGGAGTTCTGAAAAGAATTGCCACAGGTTAGGGCTCAGGCCTCAGGCCCCACAACTAAACCTCCAGGCTTGCAGTGGAGAAGCAGTATCCCTAACAGACTGAATGCTTTCATTCTTTTCAGGTTTCCGGTCCTCTTGGGGCAGAGAAACAGATCTGGCTGGAGATCTAGTCTTCTGGGTCCTCTTGTCTCTCAGGTTATAAATCATATTGCTCTGGATTAGGTGAAGCTGTGCTTCGCAATTAACCAGGAATAGGAGCCTGGGCAAGTTTGCCTGATGAGAGAAGAAAAATCCTACTTTACGCACTCATTGATAAACTACTTATCAAACACCTACGTGACTGAGAGCAAAGGCCTGGACACTGAACGTTTTTTTTCAAAATAGCCAAAGTGCAGGAGGGGCAGGGCCGGGAAGTCTTAGCTCCGCCCTCTTCTGGCTTTGGCCTTGTTTGCTCCTCCCATTTCCACTTCGTGGTGGCCTGTGGCCCAAAACGGGGACTGAAGTCAGGCTGCTGCACACTTCGTTCTCCAGCACAGGGCCGCAAACCCCCAGCTGAGAAGGCAAGGTCAAATGTTATGACAGAGATCTGTTCCGCCTCAGTTTTGGGGTCCACACGGAAGGTCTGGGGATAGACTCCTCAGTGACACGGCACTCGATTGAATCGGTCTACCTACAGATCAAGCAACCGGGTGCTCTGCGGCGCTGCAAGGCGGATGCAAGACTATTTTACTGCGCACGCGCAGTATACAGCCGAAGGAGCCACTCATGGAGCCGTCCGGAGGGGAGCAAGAGCCCGGAGCCGTCAGGTACCGAGGACTGGAGGGGCCGAAGCAGGGGACAGGACCTGGGAGGGGAGCTGAGTTGAGATTGGGACTGGGGGCCGCTTCTAGGAGCCGGGGCACAGGAGTAGAATGGAGGCGGACTCGCAGGTAGCAGAGCGGCCCTGTGCCGCGGTCGCCGCCAACGCTCCTTTTCCCGCAGGCTCCTGGACTTGCCATGGGAAGACGTATTGCTCCCTCACGTTCTCAGCTGGGTACCGCTGCGACAGCTGCTCCGCCTGCAGCGCGTCAGTCGGGCATTCCGGGCGCTCGTGCAGCTGCACCTGGCAGGACTGCGCCGCTTCGATGCCGCTCAGGTGAGTCCGTCCCCATCAGGGCACCGCCCCTACCCTGGCCCCGTTCTGTACCCTTCTGGATCCTGCTGCACCGTCAGGGCTGCTCAGGAAGTGACCCACAGAGTGGCGAGTATTTCCTAAACGCTGGTACCAGGTAGAAACTCAAGAGGGCAGGTAGCACGTCTCCTGGGAATACAAGTGGTGAGTCCGCAGCTGCCAGGCAAAAACTCTGGGGCTGCCCTTCCACCCCTGGGACCGGCTGAGAGTTCAAGTGCCACCTCGCCCACAGGTGGGTCCCCAGATCCCGCGAGCTGCATTGACCCGGCTGCTGAGGGACGCCGAGGGGCTGCAGGAGCTGCTGCTGGCCCCCTGTTACGAATGGCTGTCCGATGAGGATCTGGTGCCAGTGCTGGTGCGGAATCCGCAGCTGCGGAGTGTGGCGCTGGCTGGCTGCGGGCAACTGAGCCGCCGCACGTTGGGGGCGCTGGCAGAGGGCTGTCCCCGTCTGCAGCGCCTGTCTCTAGCTCACTGTGACTGGGTGGACGGACTGGCGCTGCGCGGCCTTGCGGATCGCTGCCCGGCCCTGGAGGAGCTAGACCTCACCGCCTGCCGCCAGCTTAAGGACGAGGCCATCGTGTACCTGGCGCAGAGGCGCGGTGCAGGCCTTCGAAGCCTCTCGTTGGCGGTCAACGCTAACGTGGGTGACCCTGCCGTTCAGGAGTTGGCTCGCAACTGTCCACAACTAGAGCATCTTGACCTCACCGGCTGTCTCCGAGTTGGAAGTGACAGCGTCAGGTGCCTGGGCCTGGGGCGTGGTGGGGTGGGTGGTACTCGGCTTCTAGGGGAGGGATGGGCTGTAGTTGTCAAAAAAGGGCAGAATTTGGGGATTTTGGATCTTTCTTTTATCACTCTTGTCCTTCCCATTCTAAACACTAAAAACTTCTAGGATTGCCTAGGCTCAAGAATCACAGTTTAAAACTTTTCTGAGCCAACATTTACACATTGAGAGATTACACATACAAAATCAGACTTTCACATTCTCTTATGACCATGCAGATTCTCTTGACACGACTGTTATCAAACCTGCCAATAAGCAGGCTTCCCCTTTGAGCGATTCAAAATTTTTAGTTCACTGGAGGCACTGAATGAATGTAGACTCCAATTTAATCCAAACCTTCTCCGTCTTGCATGGAGGAAAACTGTACGGCCAGAGTTAGATCCAGAGGGTTTTACTGAAGCCCTTAGATTCATTCAGTGGGGTCGGGACCCACCGGGACCCACCCTTTCCCCTTGGTGGGTGTGGAGGCTTCCTGGCCCTAGCCTCACCCTACTCCTCCCTCCATCCCCAGGACTCTGGCTGAATATTGCCCCGCACTTAGATCACTGAGGGTACGGCATTGCCACCATGTGGCGGAGCCCAGCCTGAGCCGCTTACGGAAGCGTGGTGTGGACATCGACGTGGAACCGCCGCTGCACCAGGCCCTGGTATTGCTGCAGGACATGGTGGATTATCCACCCCTTTTCAACCTGCAAGTCTGAAGTGGTGACAGGTCGAGGCACAGCTGGACTGTGTGGTGGAGACCCGACTGTAAGCTGTAGGGAAATCAGACTGGGGGGGGGCCCTGGTGAGAGGTCAGTGCCCTGCCTCACCCTGGAGCTTTAAATAAAGAGCTTTTAACCCCCCTCTTGCCTGGCACTGCTGCCCTGGTGAAGCAATATGAGCCTGGAAGGGAAGGTCAGACCGACAAGAGTACCCCAACCTTGGGGCAGAAATGACCAGAATGCGCCAATTTTCCTCCAGGCACCTTTACTGTTCCCATGGGCAGCTCTGAGAGGAGGTTAACACTGTGGGCAATGAAGTAAAGAAAAGAGTTGAAACTTAAGGAGACCCCTGTTGGGAGCATCGGGCTCCTGCATCCCTCTGGCATCTGGACTGGGAAGGCTCAGGCAGTATCTGGCATGAGCTTCAGTGGAAGCGGTACTTTCTGGCTGGCTTAAGGTTAATGTATGTGGCCTTCATCTCCTCGGACTCTGGGTTCCGCACATCTTTGAATCGCTCCCCTTTGGTGCTCACTACTTGGTTGTCAATGTAGCGGATCAGCTTCTTGGGGGCCTGTTGAGCAGTCACACAAGTGAGTAGCTGAAGCCAGATGTCGGTACCCCCCCAATCCATCTAGCAGTCTCTGCCCTCTCACCTCCTTGGGAGCCATCGGTCGGTGAATCTTCTGATCCTCTGCGCTATCCACCATCATGTACCTGCCAAAATTTGGCTGGGTGAAGCTTTTGCCATCCTAGAAAGACCCTCAAACCCAGCCCAGCCCATACTCACTTCTGCAGAATAAAAGACTTTAGCTCATCCTTTTGGGGGTCTCTGAGGCGCTTGGGCAGGTCCTGTGGAGAAGGGAGTTCTGATCAAGGCTCTAAGATACCATCTAGGGAAGCAAATGGGTATAGGCTTTTAAGAGAGGTGGGGAGGTATTTACATCAAGTGAGAATGCAGCAGAGGCTATATGGAGGGGAAAGAGTGCCAGGCCCAAGTCCGGGCATTGGTATATGGGGTAGGGTGGGGGGGATACCTTATTGGGGACATCTTTCTCCTCAACCAGCATCTGCACAGCCTCTTCCAAGTCCCCCCGAGCTTTGGTCAGTGCCCACTGGGCTTGCCCCACTGAACAGGTGGGAAACACCTCCAGGAGTACATCTACCCCTGGCAGCAGCTCCTCCTCAGCACCTACTGCCTGTGGGCACAAATGTTGACATTCCTTTTGCAGCTTCCCCGCTCCCCCATGGGTATCCTCCTCTACCACAATTACCTTATCTTGGGTGTCCCCAGCAGCTGTGGAAGATGACTTGGTCTCTTCTTTGAGCTTTTCAGACCTCTGCAGGGAATCTAGGGGAGTAGACACCTGACCTTGGATCTCAGAGCTCTGGGGTTGCAGGTTCTCTTAAAGGGGCAGAAAGGGCAGTCAGTTTGCCAGTGTTTTGGGGAGAGAGTGGTAATGAGTCACTCAGTCTCAGACTCACCTTTGTTCCTGGCATCACTCAGCTGCCCTGAGAGTTTCTGCATCATTTCCCCTATTATGCTCCTGAGAGGACAAGTAGAGTGATGAAGGGCCAGTTCTGCCCACTCCCCACAGCCTACCATTTCCTCTGAGCTCCAGCCTGGCCCCACCTGGGGATGTGGGCGAAGCCAGGCACATAGGCCTCCATCATCTCAGTGAACGCCTCCATGTCGAAGTTCTCCTCTGATAGGCCAGAGGGGCCCAGGTCCTCCAGGACCCCAAGCACATAGGAAAAGATGACATCATCCAAACCACTGCAGGAGGGGAGAAAGCAAGCCCTGGTTATCTCCACCCCCCATCAAAACTGATAGTCAGCTTCCTGGGGCCACCCTCCTTCAGAGCTTTGGTTTCTCAAGCCCATCTTACCTCAGGCAGTAGGCCCAGTGGTCAGAATCCAGAGTACTGCCCAATAGCTCTGACCCTGGTCCGAGCATAACCCTTCCAAGGGAACTGCCATTACCTGAGGTCAGCCTCGGGGAGATGTGTCCGGACAAAGGCAAGGAGGGCTGAGCTGACAATCTTCTCCAGCTCCATGTTCACTCTTCTGAAGGACAGAACACAGAGGTTTTCCAGGCCCTTTTCTGCTTGTCCTCACCCTCCACACTGGGCCTGGGGATGGTCATCTCCTCCCTCCCCACTACCTGCTATAAAACCATCTGTTGATGTTGCCTTTAACTCCCAACTCCCCAGCCCTTGCCTGCTCCTCCTCTCCCATCTCTCTACCTCCTCTAGCCTGAGACAGGACAGGGCACTTTCTCCAGAGAAAAGCTGAGTAGAGGTACCCTCCCAGCCCTACCCCCAGCAGTAAGTCGGAGGTCCTGACCCTCTGGCAAGAAGCCAAGGTCTTGGGGAGGTCACATGCCTCTTAGCTGAGGAATGCCATTTCAGGGGGGGCATCTGCCCCCTAGGTCTAACTACAAGTAATCCCATTGTCCAGCCCCCTAAGGAACAGGCCTCAGGACCAAGCACAGTTCTTCCCCCATCCAGAAGGGGCCACCCACCCTCTGCACAAAGGGTCTTTTCTGGCTTTTGCACTTGATGGAAGGGGAGGTCTATCATAAATTCCTCCTGCTCAGTGCCTGCCCTTCCAGCAGCAAAGGGCTATCTACAAAAGACATTCATGTCCTCCTTCCCAAGGTCCTGCAAGGTCTGGTCCTTGCCTATCTATGGAATCTCATCACTCCCTCCTTGCTCACTCCACTCCTGCCCCACCAACCACCATCCTGTTCTTCAATGTTGTTGAACTTCTTCCTGCCAATATTCCTGATATTCACATGGCTCATTCATTTACTTCCAGGGTTCTGCTAAATGTAATGTCATCAGAGTGATCCTCTCTGTCTAACCTACCACAGATATTACCCCTTATTCCACTGATTTTCCATAAAGACTTTATTACATCTTATTGTTTTTATTTATATATATATATCCCCATTGTCTATCATTAATATGACCATTGACGTAGCCCTAACACTTAGGAAAGTGCCTACATTTAGTAGGTAATCAATAAATACTTGTTGACTTACTTAATTCCTTATTTCATTCCTCCTTCATGCTTCTGACTCTCAAAAGCTTGTACATGGGAGTCACGAACACATGTAAGGATAATGAATGGCTTCAGACTCACAGACCCAAATCTCTGCTAATCATTCCTTTCAGAAAGGCTCCTCAAATTCTACTTACCCCTAAATTCACGTTATCCCCAGTCTCTGCCCATCCCCAAAATATGTTTCTCTTCCTGTTTCACTGACTGATGCAATAATTCATTACTTGCCAAACCTGGGATTTGGAGATTACCCTTGATTTCTCCTTGTCCCTACCTGCTTTATCAAATCAATCACTAATCAAGTCCTGTTGATTCTATTCCTTGCCTTTATTTCCCAATTTATCCACTTGTCCCCATATCCACTTTGGCTTCAACTCTAATATACCCACCAAAACTTCTCAAGCTAAGGACACTCCCTAGTTACTTTTTTTAGGTTTTTGGTCTGAAAAGGTGACCCATATAAACTCACCAATATCTACCTGGTTTTGATCTACTATTGGGGGGGTTGGCTCTCTGCTGGCTGAGTGATAAAGAGCTGTGCTGCCAACCCAAAGGCATATGGTCAAATCTACCAGCTACTCTGTGAAAGATGGGAAAGTTCTTCCTGTGTGATTTACACCTCTGAAAAACCACTAGAGAGTCTGACTTGATGGTACATATAATAACAATTTAAATGAAAGTAATTTCTTCTTGTTTCACCTAGTATTGTGTCTGTATCACCTGATGTGTCCTCTTGGTAGCATCACCACTGGTTTCTGAGTTGCTTATCTCCTGGTTCCCTTTTACTTCTCCAGCCATTCCTTCCCTGTCTCTGTCTCTTCTGCTTGATTTGATAAGGTTGAAACCAAAGTGATTCCATTTTGCTGACCTTCTAGTCTCTACCCAAATATGTCCTTGTGTTCCATGAAAACAGTAAATAATCTGATTAATGTTTACCCCTAAACACGTAGTCTTTGCAGTGACTTGCTATGCATCAGAAAGCTGGACAATGAGTAGGGATGATAGAAGAACTAAAGCCTTTGAGCTGCGGTGCTGGAGAAGAGTACTGAATATACCATGGTCTTCTAGGAGAACAAATGGGTCTTTTCTAGAGAAGGTGAGACCAGGCTGCTCCTTGGAGGCAAGGATTCTGAAGCTTTGTTTGACATACTTTGGTCATGTTGCAAGGTAGGACCAGTCCTTTGAGAGGGACATCATGCTTAGGAGGGTGAAGGGACAGCGCAAGAGAGGAAGACCCTTAATGAGATGAATTGACTCAGTAACTGGGATAATGGGGGTGGGTGTGTAAGAGATGATGAGGTTAGCACAGAATAGAGCAGGGTTCAGAGCTGCTGTACACAGGGTCTCTATGAGTCACAAGTGATTTGATGGCACTTAACAACAACAAACATGGTTTTATGACCTATCTCAGGAGATAAAACAGAGTGCTCAAATAATGGAAAATGGCCCAGGCCCTTCAAACCGCTGTGACTACTACCCTCAACCTGCCAATGCAGAACTGATAAACACCCTACTCTATCTTTGATGCCAATTGAGCCTCAGTCGGCTTCCATCACCAAAGAGCATTTTAAACAAAGCACATTTGTTATACACTCAGCTAGTGTTGCTCCTGGACTTCATTAGTGAGTTCGGACTTTTCATCCGGTGGCCAGTATGGGGAGAGGTCTTCCACAGACTTCTCACTGCATTTCAGAAGCAATTAACATCAGAACTTGAGCCCCTTAGCACCAAACCTGACTCATTTGTAAGTGGCAATTAACATCAGAACTTGAGCCCCTTAGCATCAAACCTGACTCATTTGTAAGTGAACGCCCCTGTTTTCTTCTCTCCTTGCAACCTGAGGTGCAGAAGGCAGCAGTTTGCCAGGTGAATTCAAGGATCCTGGAGATGGGAGCCCCCCTTTTGTGATTTCCTTTTCTTCTCTTCTTCTTGCAACCTGAGATGCAGCAGTTATGCCCAGGACATACCCTCTGATCATGGAGAAGGGAGCTCCCTCTTCCCCACACCCCCATTCTTCTTTTTCTCTTGACAACCCAAAAAGCTGATTCTGGCCTGTTCTCTGGAACATGTATGTTTATTACCCCACTCATACTGTTGTTATGTGTGGTTCAGTCACCTGCGATTCATAGTGACCCTATGTACAACAGTTCTGAACCCTGCCCTATCCTGAGCCAATTTCACTGTCTCCAACACACCTACTCTCATTACCCCAGTCACTGAGTCAATCTTTCTCATCCAGGGTCTTCCGCTCTTGCACTGTCCCTCCACCCAACATAACAACATGCTCAAAGTATGTGAGGCAAAGCTTCACAATCCTTGCCTACACAGAGCAGCTTGGTTTCACCCTCTCCAGGACATATCTGCTTGTTCTCTTAATAGTCCATGGTATGTTCAATACTCTTTTCCAGCACCACAACTCAAAGGCATCAATTCTTCAATCATCTTTAGTCACTATCCAGCTCCCTGATACATACCAAGTAATTGCAAAGACCATGGCTTTGGATCAGGCACATCTTAGTTTCTAGTCTGATATTGTTGCTCTTTGATGGGTACTCTGGAGAGGTCCCTGACAGTGTATTTTCCCAGTGCAATTAATCTTTTGATTTCCTGACTGCTGGTGCCAAGAGTGTTGATTGTGAAATCAAGCAAGCTGAAGCTGTTAACAATCTCAATCTCTTCTCCATCTATCATGTTGCGGCCAACTGGCCCAGTGGTAAGAATCTTTGTCTTCTTGATGTTGAGCCTCAATCCATTTTGAAGACTAGTCCTTGACCTTCTGCAGCAAACGCCTCAGGTCCTCCTCAGTTTCAGGAAACAAGGTTGTGTCATCTGCACAATGCAGGTTGTTGACGATTCTTCCTTCAATCCTGATGCCACATTCCTCATAGAACCCAGCCTCCTGGATGATCTGTTCTACATACATATTGAAAAGGTATGGAGATAGAATGCATCCCTGACATACACCTTTCTTGATTTTTAAACCATGCAGTGTCTCCCTGCTTTGTTCTGATGTCTGCCTCCTGGTCCAAGCATAAGTTGTACTCATACTGTTACAAGTTCCAAAATCCAGTGCTGGTTAGGGGTCCACTCCTCCAGGAGTCCTAGTCCAGTTTCTATGCAGGGACACTTAACTGATAACTTGAGGCTTCTTTCTGCTAATGTGTGAGAAGCCAAAAGGGCCGCCTTCACCCTTTTCCAAACAGTTGGCTCTGGAGTCTTGGTTCATCTACCCATTGGGATGCCTTCCTCAGCTCAGCCTCAATTTCAATGGCCTATCCTTCACCAAAGCATTTGTACCAATCTAATAAGAGGGCAGAAGTCCCCTATGTTCAGGCCTTCTTTGTATCCAAGACATAACTCACTCTGTACACTTCCTGTTTCCCTTCACAAGTCCTGTTACTCCACTCTTCTGCTTCCTCATCCAATCCCTTATCCATGAACTCATCACTGTCTGTACACTTCATGGACCCAGCAGACCATGTTCTTTTTTTTCAGACCATGTTCTACTTCCCTTGTGTGGAAGTTGCCCATGCACTCCCTCTTTGCCCAAAACCCAACTGTGCCCTGATAAAGTGGGTCCAGACGCTGCTCTTACTCCCTCGCCATGCCACACTTGGCTTGGGTCTTTCCGTTAACCTCTGTAACTCCAGTACCTCCTCTAAGGTTGCAGGAGCAGAGAGAATTGTACACGCACACGTTTCCTTTCTCTCTTCCTGACCTTTCAGTTACTCATCAGAGGCTAGGAACTTTTTCATATAATCCTACCACTCTCATTTGGGAAAAACCCAGCTTTTTCTTTCTCACTTACTGAAGGGTTTTATAAAGTTTATAGCTCTTGACCCTGCTAGCCCCAAAGGCCAGTTAGTTCATAATATGCATTTCATTTAGAAGTCTGCTCCCCTTATTCAGAAAAAGCTCCAGAAACTTGAAATGGTCTTCAAACTCCACCACGAGATCTCCAGAATCTACCCTTAAGTGTCTTTGATAATAGGAGGAGGTTGTCTCTAAACGAAAGGTGCTATGTGACTAAAGACCAAATATTTACCCAAGTAATCAGGGATGACAACGCCAACAACCAGGCAAAAAGGAACTAGAGCAGTCATTCAACCAGCAGGAAAAGGGGCCAGCCAGTTCACTCCTGGTGCTTCAAGTGCAGACAGGAAGGACACTAGGCGTCACAGTGCCACTCCCCAGAGCCCCCAACTAAACCGTAGTGCGAGTGTGGATGGCCACATTGGAAGTCTGACGTACAAGAACACTACACATGGTAAGTTTTCAGTCCCTTATCAGCAGCTTCCTCCCTACCAGACCTGATCAGTTACTCATGGGGACCAGTGTCCCCACTACCATCTTGCCTGCAATACCCCAAGTTGTCATCTTCGTAGAAGAATTGACGTCTTAATGAATCAGAGCCTGGGACAGTTCCTGTTACCCAGCTTTTAATATCAACCAATTCCACCTGAGCCCCCTTTGACATAAGACCCCTCCCCTGGCTTCGTCCCATTTCAGCAAGAAGTAATTTTTAGAAGATATATACCCCTAAAAAATAAATAAAAATTTAAAAAAAGATATCCCCCTTTCTCCTTTAAGAACTTTCCAACCTGAATACATGCCTGTGTTCCAGGAAATCACACCCCAGGAGATAAAACAGGAAATGCTGAAATAATAGAGAATGGCCCCAGGCCCTTCACACTGCTGTAACTACCTCCAAACAGCCAATGCAGAATAGATAAATACTCTTCTCTTTGCTTTGTTTGGTGCTGATGCCAACTGAGCTTCAGCCCACTTTCACCAAAGCACACATTGTAAATAAAGCATATTCGCTGTGTTGCTCGGCTAGTGTTGTTTCTGGACTTCATAGTGAGTTTGGACCTTCCAACTCTTCTTTCCTCATTCTGCATTCTTGTTCTGGAAGATCTCATCTAGATCCGTATCTTTATGTCCCAACTCTGCGTTACCAATTCTCCAACGTCTAGTCCAGCTCCATCCCCTGAGCTACATCCACCTCTATGTAGATGTCTTAAGGCACCTCACATTTAATGTCTCTAATTGACATTCTTCAAGTTTTTCTTTTTCTAGGGCCAGTAAATGCACATCTAAGCACCCACTTGTTCATGTTAGAAATCTGCAAATTATCCTTGGCACCATTCTGTCCTTGCCTTCCACACCTACTCACCAAACTCTGTTCTCTCACAACCTCATCACTTCTCTCCATCTTGATCCCCTCTTTTTTCCTTAATAAGAGCTACCACCTTTCCCCTAACAATCTGTCCTCCACACTACAGCTGTATGATCTTTATAAAAAAACTCATCATTCTTCTACTTAAGGCTCATCAGTGGTTTGTCATTACCCTTCAGAGAAGACCAGAGTCTTCTTGTGGGTTTATGATTTAGAGCCTCACCCCTGCCTATCTCTCTCACACCTCATGCACCACATTGTCCACGGCTCACTTTCTTTTACCCTGTCTTCCTTTTATTCAGTTCGCCAATATTCAAGTATTTCATGGCAAGGACCTCTGTACCAATCATCTCCTCTGCCTTATGCCTCCAGCCTTGTACTTATTAAACTCCTTCTCATCTTTTAGGTCTTATTTCTAAATACTTTCTTCATGGGACGCTATTCCTGGCCCTCCAGAAATGGCTTGGTCCCTTCATCATATAGCCTCATTGCACACTGCATTTTTTTTCCCCTTACGGAGCAGCACCTTTCACAGTATAATTAAATAATTATATGGGCAATGCTTATTGCTTCTCCCAGCTATTTCATGTGCACAGGGACTACACGTGGCTTATTCACAAGTGTACTCTACGTGTCTCCCATATCATAGGCACTTTTAAAAATTACTCTCCATTTTACAGATGGGGAAAATGAAGCTCAAGATGTTTGACTTTACCAAGTCACAAAGCTTAACTGTTAAAAATCAAGGTTTGAATGAAGTTCTCCCAGTTCACAGTATTCTAAAGGCTACTCTGGGGATGGGGTACTGCTGCTAGTGGTGATAAGGACTAGAACAAAGCTTCTGTCTATGATCACCATTCCCTGGACCCCTCTGGGGTAACAAAGAGATGCTATGATCATACAAGGTCACACTGAAAAGCAGTACTGAGAATCCCCAGCCTACCATGTGGATGCCTGGTTCTTAGCTACCTCATCTGACACCTTCCCCCAACCACAAACCAGATTCTATTACACAGCTCTCCTAGGAAGGCTCCCTCCAGAAACTTCCAGTCACCCTGAGTTACTTCACCCTCAAGTCCTACCTCTTGTCAGTTGCCTAGCAATCCTTGCAAAAGTCCATAGCTGCTACATGGAATCCAGTTTGTTTGTTTGTTTTTATTGTATTATTTTTATGTGTACCATCAAATCAGATCTGACTGGTACAGGAGGAGATTGCCCCCTCCTTCTGCAGAGCATCTGGTGGATTTGAACCACATACCTCTGGGATTGCAGTGCAGCATCTTGCCACTAAGCCATCAGAGCTCCCTTGAGAATCCAGTTTTGAGGAAAGCTTTTTAGGGATGTGTCTGAAGTTTCTAACCAAAGTCAGCATCCCCAAATAAAAGTCTTCCTCCTCTAAGCTTCTGCTTTACTTCTCTAAGGGAACACACACACACACACACACACACACACACACATCTTGTTCGTGGACTTTCCCTACTTTTCCCCAGCTTCAAAGCTTGCCACTTCTCTTCTTCACCTTTTCCTATTTCCTCAACTTTTTGTTTCTGCCAAGAGGTTCCTCCTAGTATCCCCTTTGTTGTTGTTGTGTACTGTAGAGTGGGAATCGACCCACAGCTGACCCTCCAGCAGGTTTTCAGAGGCAGTAAATCACACGGGTAGTGACTGCCCATTCTTCTCTTGTAGTGTCCGCCTAACTCCAGCCCCAAAATGGAGAGGATGTGGTCTAGCAAAGCTGCTCTCCTAAATCTAAGTCAAAATCTGAGCTGCCGGCTTCACCAGAATAATATGATATCCACGAGGTTTTTAAAATTCCAGGTGTAGTTCACAACCTCATTATTCCCCAGAGGCCCAAACCAGCAATGAATGCTTGGTAGTGCCCATGAGATGTGACTGGTATGAGCTCTGCCAAACACTTGATAAAAACAGCATTTATAGGATGCGTACATGTGGCAGGAATTAAGCCCTTTACATGTCCATTTTCTCCCTGCATTCAACTCTTGACTGCCCTGGGACATAAGAGCTTTCAAATATTCAATATAGAGCTTCTGGACAAATTTAAGTAAAATTAGAAGAAACCTTAAGATGCTGATCTTCTGAGGGGTGGGTGCAACAGAGCTGGAGGCAGAGCAGAAAGCCATGTGGGAGCGAATGTGGGAGGCATCTTGGGGTGTTTAGAGAGGCAGCGGGCCTCCATCAAGGTCTTCTTCACTGCTTTTCCCATCCCATAGAACCTCGCTCCTAAAAGTCTCGCCTGTGTCACAGGCACCAGAGGACATCATTCTCTCCCAAGCCCCCAGTCAGGTTTTAGAGGCACCAAGGGAGCTGAGGGACACACCCTAGGGATCCGGGTGTCTAAAATCAGGGTGAGGACAAATGAGGGAATGGGAGCAGGAAATGGGACCACCGCGAGGATGGCTTACCCCTGAAGCAGGAGCTTCCCCAAACCACTTAACGGGATACTTCCAAGTATCCAGAAGAGTGGGCCTGAGGACCCGGGCTGCGGGGGCGGCCCTGAGGAACAGGGGACGAAATCAGGCCTGAGCAAGCTCGGATATGCATTAATGCAGGTAACTTATCAAAGACGGGCGTCCGGCGGACCCCAGAGGGGGTACGATGAGGGAACACACAAGACGAGTACCCTGGGTCAACGCTCTCCGAAACTCTCTTAGCCCTGGGCCGGGGGCGGCAAGGGAAATCACCTGCTCCGTCGGGGGCGGCCGCCGACTTGTCCCGCGCGGTGCAGCTCTCATGCCCCTAGCCCCACCAACGAGACCAAAGGCGTGGCCCAGAGCGGTTCCGCCCAGCTGCGCCTCTATGGCCATTTTTGAAAAGGGCATCTTGCCCTTAACTAGGCGGGGCTTCCGTTCGCTTTCCCATTGGTCTCAAGGCTTTGGACGGACCATCACGGTGGCCGTTTTTTTGCGTGTTTAGGGGTTTCCAGGGGAAAGTCGCTATCAACGTGGAGTCACAATAGCTCGAGCTGCATTCTCGAATTTTTTTTTACCCCCCAGAGGTCGAAAATCTTTCAACCCTAATCCGTTATCTTCCGGTCCACCTTCCTGCCTTGCTTCTCTAGGATGTCCGCCCTCACATCCTCGATCTCGTTCCTTCTTTATCCTCGGCCCCCCCACCCTACTCCTACAGACTTCGTGGGCTCCCCGTTAGGGTTTGATATTTGGCTCTAAATTCTCATGCCTCTCCTCTTGCGTGGCCGGACTAAGCGGAAACTCACTCGATCAGCTCCTTGGCGCTGACTACTCCACGCTGCCCTTTGCTCTGACGGCAGTGGATGGCTCCTCATGGCCGGAGTGGATTCCTGGGTCAGGGCCCTGGGGCCACGGAGCCCGTTTTGAGGAGGCAGCAGGAGCTGGGGGTGAGGATCGACCTGGGCCAGGGCGATCTGCAGACCATGCCTACCCCTAGTGCCTTCAGCCGGTGTTGACAAGGACATGCCCCAGGACAGGCCAGCCGAACGACAGGACCTCAGCTTCCTCTTTCTGTTCCTTGCTGCCTCAGCTTCCCGATCCGTGGGGAAATCCAGAGCTACCCCTTCCCAGGAAGTCGGCCATGGGTCATGGGGGAAGCAGCCCTCTTCAGGGACCAGCCAGCCCATCCTCCGATGTGGTTTTTTTTTTTTAGCTGTTCAGTGCTAGTCCTTTTATAGGGTGCTGGGAACCCTGGCCTAAGAACAGCTCACAGTCCAAAGGTCCTTTCCTCCCATACGGACAATGCTAATCGCGGAGGACAAAAGAGATCTCTGCTCCCTCTCTTTTCAACCCTGCCCTTTCTCCCTCAGGCTTGTCCTCCCTACGGGGTCCACTGACCTCAGGTTGGCCACTGGGGACAAAGGGGGTATAGGGTAGGTTGGGGATTTGCTTTGGCGTCCTCCATAAAAACACTGCTGTTTGCTGCTGCCAGCCTGGCCAGCTGGTGTTAACAGGAGGAGGGGCCGGGTGGCGTCACTTTGAACTCCTGCCAGGCAGGACCCTGGAGAAGGGGGTGAGCTGACTCCTCGGTCTACGGCTCTGCCAGTTCTCCAGAGACAAGGGCTCCCCCATTCCTCCCCCTCAATCCATTTCACAATACTGATGACTCTTTTGAATCCACCCTCCTCATTCCCGGATCTTTCAGGTTTCCTCGCATGAGCAGCCCACAGTTCTGACCTAAGATCCTTGAAGCCATGCCTTTCCCCCTCCCCTGTTTCTTGGATGACCAATGGATGTAGCTGGATACCAGAGAGGACTGAGCTTTCAAGAACGGAGGATAAAAAAAGACTTAGGCAGAGCCCCTCCATTCCATATGCAAACACTGGAGGGCCCTAACTCTGTCCAGTGAGGTCAGATTCAGGGGCCATTGGGTGGGCTGAGGACAGTTACCGCAGACATAAGATTGATTACACAAACACACACACACAGAGAGAGAGAGAGAGAGAGGGAGAGAGAGAGAGAGAGACTGTAAGGTCAGAGCTCCAGGGAACCTCTATCCTGCCTTGGATGCCTCAGTTAGCTAAACTTTAAACTCTAGTTTTTCATCTCCTCATATCCCAGTATCTTTCTTCTTAAGATGGGAACTGCCTGCACATGCCTTTTGAGTCCTGTTTCAAGTCACATGAAGTTGACATGGGTATAGATTGGTGCCTTCCCTCCCTCAGTCCCTAAAGTGACCATTGTAGCTTGTATTTGGGGTGCCTGAGCCTCCTTCCTCTTCAGCTGATGAAGAAAGCTAGAATCCTCTATTGAAGGTCCTCCTGGCTTATCAATCCCCCACTATCCTGTCCTATCTCCCAATGAGGAATTGGGCTTGAATTGGGAATAAAGTGCAGATTTACCAAACATTTGTTGTTGTTGTTGTTGTTGTTAAGTGCCTTCGAGTTGCAGGCTACTTATAGCGACCCTATGAAGGAGAGTCCTCAACACTTGGGTGTCTTTCATCCTCTCTCCAGTACTAAACATTAGGAGCCAAAAAAGAATCTAGCTGGTTTATTCCAAGGAGTAGGATGGACCCATTTAGAGACTCAAGGAAGGAAGGGGACATTTGGAATGATGGGGGGAGAGTCCCCTTCTGGCTTGAGGTCAGAAAGGACTCTGGGCAAGATGCCCAGCCCTCCCACATCTTCCTCCTTTCTCAGAAGAGCCAGTGTAGGGCGGGGGCGGGACGAGATTTGACTGGGGCTGGGTTTGAGCCTTATTTAAAGGGCTCTCCCTCGTAGAGGACATCATTGTAGATTTCCCCGAGAGAGAGGAGACTTCTTCATAGGTGAGTACTGGCCCTTTTCTCTTGATCTCAGGCAGAATGGTCAGGATGGCTCTTAGCCTTCAGCTTCTCCCCAGGAACATATGTTTCAGGGATATGTTCCTCTTTTACTCTCTGACCCCAAATTCTTCAGGCATTCTATCTTGGGGGTCCCTATGTCAGAACTCTCCATTGACTCAAGAAGCCCTCAGCCTGCACTGTAATGTCCTTTCCAGGGTGTGTATCCTGATTCTTTTTCCAACCTCTGACTCCTTAAGCCAAACATCTGGCACCACCATTGAGCACACCTGGACAAGAGATGCCTTGGGACTACCACAAAGTGCTGTTAGAACAGCCTGGGGAACAGAATCCTTACCATGAGTCCAAGCCTACTCCCATGTGCCTTATTCCGATTCCTTATTGAACTTAAAGAGCCTTGCCCTTTCCCCTGCTATGGGCCCTCTTTCAGCTCCAAACTCAGACCTTCCCTGGGATAGAAGGAAACCTGAGACTCCAGGTTCCTCACATCATCCATTCTGGTCCTCAACCTGCTTGTTCTGAGACTAGGAGCAGATTCACAGAAGAGAGAACACAGGAGAGAATCATCAATGTATTTTGGCCACCTGGCCCTGAGAACTGAATTCCATAGGCTGTGAGCTCTAGCTAATGCCCTAGGAACTCAGTTCTGGTGCCCGGTTGGCTGTGCTACACCATTGTGCTGACACAGTGGGGAAGCTTCTAGCTCAGCTTCTCCAACTATGACCAAGCCAGACTCTCTACAATCACTTATCCTGCACACTGACTGGACCTTTTCAATAACATCAGTAATAACTTAGCCTAATAAGTTAGTCTAATGGGCTAATTATGGCCTAGGCCAGTCTTCTGCTTACTGATGTTTAGTGGCTCTCCAAAACTCCTTACCCTACAGTTAAAGTACGGCCTCCATTTACCCTGATCATAACTTGCCCTCCAACAAGTCCTGCAAGTTTGCTTATACTCTTGTTGATCCACCTTTTAGGACACCTTCTTCCCACTGTTTTCTGTTGGCAATTATATGTTCTTCAAAGTCTCTTTCAGATGCTTTTTCCAAGAAGACTCTCCAGCTCCCCCAAGGAAATCTGTTTCTCTCTGGTGGGGTGAATGTTAAGTATTTAGTTCAGTTTTGTGCACATAAATACCCTCTTGCGTCTTGGGGGCTGTATTTCATATGTGAAGAGGCAGTTTTGCCTAGAGACAAGATTTAGGCTTGTCAGATGCATTCTCAGTGTGGTAAATTGTAACCTCTTTGGGCCTTGGTTTATGTAAATGGAAATTATAATTACACTTAGTGTTTTATGAAGATTAAGTCAAATCAGTCAGTATTCTCCGGAAGGGGTTTTCTTTTTAGCACAGCACTTGACACAGAATGAATACTCCGTACGTATGTGAGGTGGTTACGAGTCTTATATTCCTTTAAAACCCACTACCTTAGGCGGCAGGGGTGTGGGGGGGTGCGTGGGGAAGAAGAACGAACTGGGGAGGAGGGTAGAGAAAACAGTGCAACAATGAATGAATGAAAACCCAAAATCTCTGTAAATGTTCATTGAAACTAATAAAATTTAATAATAATTTTTTTTAAAAACCCACTACCACTGCCAGTGATTCATAACAACCCTCCACTGGGTTTTCAAGGCTGCAAATCTTTAGCGGCAGAGACTTTCCAACTTTCTCCCTTAAAGCAGCTGGTAAGTTCAAACTGCCAGTCTTATGGTTAGCAGTCTAATGTGCTATGCACTGTGATGTCAGGGTTCTGTATATTCCTTTTCGTCATCTTTTGCATTAAGTCAGAGCCCACTCATAGCTGACCCTCTGTTGAGGCTGTAAATTGTATGGGAGGAGATTGCCCATCTTTCTTCTTAAGAGCTACTGGTGGATTCAAGTCAAAGGAAGGCTAGGCTTTTGGGTTAACAGTGTAACTCTATGGACTAGACCACCAGAGTTCTGTATTTTCTTTTGTTGCTGTCAGGTCCCCTTTAGTAGACTGTGAAGAGCTCTGGTGGTACATTGGTTAAATGTTCATCTCCTAACTAAAATAAAAATCACTGATTTGAGTCCACCAGCCACTACACAAGTGAAAAGATCTGGCAACCCCACAAAGTTTATAGCCTAGGAAACTCAAAGGAGCCTTTCTACTCTGTCCACAAGGTCACTATAAGTTGGAATTGACCCAACAAAATTCAAGCCATTCAAAGATAAAGTCAGTAGGAGGTGAATTTGAACTTGGGATTAGTTGATCAGGACTTATTGTGCGAGAGTCTCCAGGCCAATACCAAGGTTGGATGACAGGGTCTCTAGGAGCCCTGGACTCCCATATGACTTGTAATTTTGGATAAACCATTCCCTTGTTCTCACCCTAGTTTCTGGTATAAATTTGGAAGGTTGGACCAGATGCATAAGCAAGGTTTCTACAGCCCACATGATTTATGAGTTCTGAGCTTCCAAGAGTAAGTTCAAAGAAAAGATCAAAGAAGGAAACATAAACATCTAGGCTTCATGCAGAGTACATTTAAATTCAAGGAAACTGGAGCAGGGAATTGACTAGAGTCAATTCAGATTCAGCTAATC